GTTGGGAGCCCAGCCTGCCAAAGCAGCCGGGGAAGCGGTTCCGTCTGCCTGTGGTTGCGCAGAGCCAAGGCTCTCTGCTTTCATTGTGGAAAAAACCGATAATGCATAACAGGCTTGGGCCTGCCACCCAACTCGTGAGGGCAGCGCATTCAACTTCTCCACTCAGACACTTCTTTCTTTCCCATACGCCGAAAGGGGCTTATTTTCACATCCCGAAGCAGGCTTCTTATTTTCTCAAGTGTTGTGCCTACGTGGAACCTCTTGTAGAAGCGGTACTGCAGCCCTGGGTGCCACGATCCCTGAAGGCTCCCCAATCCCATGCTTCTTGAGCGCATTGCCTGCCTCTTTCACCTCTTACAAAGCGTGATTCAGTCTCCTGCTCTTTATGCAGCTCTTCTCTATGTAAAGCACGAGGGTTTTGGCTCCAAGCAAGACTGCCATTGTGCGTAATGGAGGTAGTGTCATTTTGGGGAAGAACTGCTGTTCTTTTGCTCTGGCCAGTTGCGGAGGAGCATAGGCAGAGACTGGTAATCATGCCGGTGGTGCCCACAGGTCAGTGTTGCCGAAGAACAGAACTGACTGTCTGAAAGGCGAGGGTTTTCAAGGTGCCTTACAAGCGTCGTGATTAATTCTTTGTCTCTTAGATTGGGAAATAAGCCTTCTTAATGTTATTAGGCAAACTCACAACTCTTCTCCTCCCTTTCTGCATGCTCGTGCAGCTAGCAGATGAGAATTGGCTCAGCCCCTGCCCACGATCACATCGGACTCCTCCTCCGTCTAAAAAGGAGACCACATCTTTTAGCTGAGCGATCTAAGCTTTTGAGCTTATGAAAACAGCATGTGTTCAAAGCCTGAAACGGACCCTTAGCGCAGGCTCTGCAGAGGCAGTAGATGAAAGGACTCGAAACACACATCGCACAAAATCTATCCGCATCAGCTGCTGAAATGCAGTCGCTTTTAATGGGAGCTATATGTGGAGAATGCTCCACCCTCTGAACTAGAGGGAGGTTTGACGTAATACTGGTTTCTTTTCTTTTTTTCCACTCTTCTGTTTAGAAATGGCCTCAGATGTTTCCTCGCTGGGTGCAGCCGTCAGCTCTGGGAACCCTGGACCGGGCACGCAAGCTGGAGGAGCCATCGCTCAGAGAGCCAACAAGAGGCGTCCCGGGTGAGTGCGCGCGCTCTGTGCGTGTGGTTTTACTTCTTTGGGGAGGCAGGTGGGTGCGTGTGAAGTGTTATTTTTGAGGAAGCATCGTTCTCTTGAAAGGGTGGTCAGCCTTCTGATGAGGAAACTTGTCTGCTTCTAAGCAAAGAGGAGTTGCCCAGTTCCTTCAGGTGCGCTGTATCCAGTCCTTTTGCTTCATAGTTGTATGCTGTACCCCCACCATACCTGTGAAAGCCGGGTTCTGTATTACACATAAAAAGAGGGGATTAAGAAGTTGAGTTGCACCTCACAGGAGAAGAGGGTGGCTCACCAAGGACTGAGAGTGAAACAGGAGGCACGGAAGCAGCGAGACAAGGCAGTTGCTGCAGGAGAGGTAGAGGAACAGAGAACGTGAAGGCCTTACTCAAACCTTTGCAACTCTGCCCTCTCTGGGAGAGGGTGGGGGGCCAGCCGCAATGTGCTTGTGGTAGGCTTTTTGTTTGCTAAAAATGCCTTTGCAAATTAAAAGGATATTGAGTGGCTGCTCTTAAATTCCTGGCACAAGAAATTTCCTCTTAATTTTCAAACTAATTAAAATCTCTCCCGGCCCTCCCCCAGTCACTCAGAGTCTGTCCTTCACCTCCATTTGCTGGTGCTCCCACTCCTCTGCAGCTCCTCCCACGCTGTCTGCTACTTGTTCCTCGCACTTCATTTACAAACACGCACGCTGCTCTGCTGCATCTACACGCCAGTTTTCCGTCCTGAAGGAAAGCGCAGTGAAAAGCCTTTCCTCTGTCCTCCCACCTACGCTTGTTAGACTTTTTTTTTTTAATTTTTGACCCTGTTAGAGCAAGCACAGTGACATTGTCTGCTGTTGAACTGAGGACGCAAACCACGCAGGTCACCAGGCTGAACTGTAACTCTTGAAGTATTTTGCCCTCCTCTTTTTTAAATGCAGCTGATCCGAGCTTTTGCGTTGGGAGTGCTCCATTTGTAGGCTGTTGATCGGTCCCTTGAGCAGTGAGGAGCGGTTGTGGCAGCCTCTTTGGCTTCAGATCGCTTCTAGGAGATCCAGAGCGTTTGGAACAGGAGGCTGTGATGCCGTGGGTGTTCCAAGTGGGCTTTCTCTCTTGTGAACTGTTTCCTTGCTCTGTTTCTGATAGACCTGTAAAGGAAGCCCCCTTCTAAACTCGGTGGGTTGTTTCACGTTAGCCCCCAGGATTACTTAAATCCTCCTTCCAAGAATCATCTGCATCCCTGTAGGGACGGACAGAAAAGCAGCCCGTAAAGGAGAAACCGCTTGGTTAATAATTATGTTCTTGCTTCTGTTTTTCAGGCTTGATTTTGATGATGATGGAGAAGGGAACAGTAAATTCCTCAGGTGAGGGAGGACATCGCACCCAGAAGTTTCAGTTGTGTGGTCTAGATGTGTCTGTGTTTCCCCCAGAGCAGAAGCTTGCCACTCGTGTGGTTTTTCCTCCTCCAGCAGTGCAGAGGGAAGTGGGGGGAGGCTGAAAGAGGCAGTGCTCTGCTTCCTTAAACTGTTCCCTTTCTCCTAGTCAGCAGTATTCCTCCATCGCCACAGCTGATGCCAAAGCAAAGCTGCTGTGCACATGGGGTCTGTGAGTCCGGAGAGGGGACTGGGACTGGGAGGGGATTCCATTACCGCTTTGGACGCCGTCTCCATCTCGAGTCTCCCCGGGCCAGCGCCGTAGCGAGATGAGGTCAGCTGAAGAAGCGAGCCTCCTGAGCCCTGGGTTGAAGCGGTGTTGCAGAACTCTGTGATGATGTTGCTGTGTTCGATACCAGCATCTCAAAAGATTAAGTTGTTTCCACGAATGCTTCCAGCAATCGGCTGGTTGTTCCAGCGCAGCACTGTAGGAGCACTGCTGCTTGGCCGAGACCCCGTTGATTGTAAAGAAAAATCTTCTGCCAAATAGCAGTGAGATGCTGAGCTTTTGTTAGTTCCTCAGACACGTGTGACTTAATTCTCATCTGTTGTGAGGATGCTTCAATTACAGAGACATCCTTACTCCCGAGGAGCTGGCGAGGCTGCAAGTGTCTCCTCTCGTTATCCATATGGAACGCAGAAGAGTTGGAAGATCTCGTGTCATTTATTTGTAGTCTCACTGCACGGTTTAGGGTTGGACAACTCTAATGATGCTGGAAGCCCATATGTTACAGCTTTTGAAATTTGACTGCGGAATGGCTTTGATAACAGTCCTGATGAACCTAGGATTTACCTACTGAGATCCTTCGGATGAGGGTCTTGATTTGGGCTAACTGTATCTTCCAAGTGCAATTTCACCTATTCCTTTGTGTGTGATTGTGCTTAAATTACGACTGTAATTAAATACTGAGTCTATCACTGCCCTTGATACGAATGTGATGTGGAAAGCATCATCAAGGTGATAAAAATAATTGAGCTGTAGTCTTTTAACCAGATAAATGAAGAGTGTTCTGGGTTGCCTGCGCACAGCAGAGTTTGGCTTTTTTGCGCCATTTATTAAACCTTGTTCTTTGCTCGGTGTCTTTGGGAAATGGAAGCACTGTAAGAACTCTTTTTTCTTCTCCTCCTTCTCCTAGATGTGACGATGACCCAATGCCAAATGATAAAGAGAGATTTGCCAGGTAAGAATCCACTGTGATGCACTTTTTGAAGCTTTTGGTGCCAAACCACCCGAATATCGATTTCCTCTCTTTGAAGTAAGGTGCACCAAGGGATCCAGACGTTTTCCTTGATGTTTTTTGGACTGGTTCGTTTTGTGTGTGACAAAATTGTTCCTCTTTTCCAACAATTCTTTCAGCTGTTGCCCGGGACTCTCATTCTTTTTTCCTGCTCAAGAAACTTGCGGAGATACAAGTTTCACGCTTAGGTCAAGCTTTACTTGAACAGGGTTTCCTGGCAAATGCTGTGGTTGGTGTGTTTTGTGGGGGCGTGAGGCAGAAGCTTTCTCTCTAAATGGGGGATTTCCTAGAGATCAGAGTGTACAGTAACATTATAAGTAATGTTTTGCCTCTGATTGTCTACTTGCTGGTGTCTGAGGGTGGCCCTGTACCATCTCGTACTGGGACTGACCTCATGGTATTTTTGCAGCCTTCTGAAGCTCATGGAACTCAATTTAAGTATTTCAGGGGTTTGTTTTGTGTTGATGTGTAATTTTTTTTTGCCAAAGCAAGGTGGTTCTGTATATATTCCAAGCGCTGTAAATTCCAGGGTGTCCCCTCGGTGCGAAGGCACATCATGCCCTGTCTTGCTAAGAAGGAAAGTGAGCAAATGCTTATTGGCTTATCTTAAGGAGGGGTCTGACTTCAGGAATTCCTGAAACTGGAGTTAAAATTCAAGTGGCTGAGGACATTGGGGAAAGGAGCGCCCAGCGTGCTGTGTCTAGGAGCAGGGTAGATCACATTGCAGGCTGAGCCAGGAACGATGTTGGGTGCAGGGGCCTTTCCCTGTGATCTCACTGTCATCATGCACTGAAACTGGTGGTCTGGAACGAAAGCCTTTGCACAATGTCTGTTCCCTAATATTTCAGCCGGAGCTATAAACCTGTGTCAGAGTCTCGATGCAGAGAGGCAAAAAAAAATTGCAAAGCCACAGTTTCAGGTCCCCATCGTGCTGTTACCTGCCAAAGGGCCAGCAGGGACCTGGGACTCTCCAGCTTAAGTGGTCTGACTTGATCTGAAGGCGGGCAAATGAGAAATGTGTTTGCCAGCCCGTGTCAAGTAGCTTTGTTCCCCAGTGCAAGCCACAAGCTCCGAGAACGTAAAGGTATAACAGACCCTGATAATACATTTAAGTGCTGAAATAATTCAGAATGCCTACAGCATGTGCTTTTTCAGTAAGTGTTGTGGTGCTCGACAGCTTCGCAGCCCTGAAAGTTAAAAATCCTGCTACCTGTTGTGCGGTGCCATAGTTCAGTAGGGTCTTGGCTCCCTGTGGCCCCTGTTGTGGCGTGGCCTTTGATCACCCTGGTTAATACACACAGGTAGGCGAGGAAGGAATAAACAGAGAAACAAAACAACAGAATGTCATTTCTGAATCGTCAGGGCTAGAGCCTCTGTTTTGGCGGGGGGGGGCATCAGCAGCACCGGCGTGCTTTAAGGTAGAGATCATCGCTTGCGGTTCCTGGAGGGGAGGAGGGTGACGAAGCCGTCAGCGGTGTCAGCGTGCTGACAGCCCGGGTGCAGCTGTAGGAGAAGCGTGGCGCAGCTCCCCGCTGCATCTGTGCCCCTTGGCCTGCCCGTAGCGCTCGGATCTGTTTCCCGGACCTGCTCGTATCGTGTTCCTCGCAGCTCTGGCAGCCCTCATTTTCCAATGCGTTCTTCCCTCCTCGGATGATGTGAGGCAAAACAGAGCATGGAAGCGAACATGACTACACTTTTTTTTTGTTTGTTTGTTTTTTAAGCGCTGTACTAAAACCCTTTTGGAGTGGAAGGGTACCACAGCTGACTGATGCCAAAACCACCTCCTGCCCCCCGTCAATCCGCAGTCTATGCTTTAGGTGCTCGGCCTTTGAGAGATCGTGTGCCTGCCTTACTGGGCACACGTGGTACCCTCTCCGTTCCTGGTGGTAGCTTTTGGGGGATTGTTTGTTTTCCAAGGCAGCCAAACCTCCAGGAGGAAAACTTACCGTCAGCCTCTGTAAAACAAAGTTTGCAGATTCCTCTTCCCTGAAAACTGAAAGTGCGCGCAGGTTGGTGGGGACGTCTGTGTGCCTTTTTGTAGGCGACGTGCGTAACCTCTGTCTGCTGTTTGTCGTGTAGCCACCTCGCCTGTCTTGTCCTGAATGGTGTTTATGTAGCAGTGTTACGAAAGTGTGTGTTCTTAGCTGTGAATCTTACGCTGTTTGTGGATTTGGGGGGGTTTTAATATGCTTTTCTGATTTGTTAATACTATCAAAGAGGCTACTGATTTATTTTTTCTTTAAAGAAATAGTAGTTTAATGTGACGGGGACCCGAATTCCCAGTTCTGCTATTAACCCAGTCTTGCGCAGAACAAGCTGCGCCTCGGTTGTCCGTGAAGCAGAGCTACCCCTTGCCTATTTTGCAGTCTTGGTAAGCGTCTTAAAACTTCAAAACACCGTAGATAGCAGGCACCCATTTAATGTGTGATGTTGCAAACTAATGACTGCTTTGTTTTACGGAATCGCTCCTCTGCAAAACAGACGTGTCTGTAGGCTGGGTTTCCTAGTACATCTTCCCATTTTTCATTTCTTTAAACTTTTTCCATTTTAGCTTAGATCGCTGATTTTATTTTTAGGTCTGATGATGAACAGAGTTCAGCGGATAAGGAGAGACTTGCCAGGTAGGAGAATGGAGATTTCAAGCATGGACAAGCAGAGTATTTCCTTTCCTTAATGTTTCTCTAGGCATCCCTTCTCTTTTTTTTTCCCCCCTCCTTCCCTCATCTGCTGCAATAGAGGACTTGAAACTGAGCAGACTTCTGGAAATCGCTGTGTAATTGGAATTAGGAGGGGAAAGGCATTTAGTCCCCTTGTGAGGATGTCTTTGGGGAATACACAAAAGGGTTTGTTTGCAAAGGGCGGCAGGGTAGAGCGTGGTTGGGCCATTGCTTTCACCGAGTACTGTAGCTCTGCTGCCCTGCCCCAGTTCCTCTTGTGCTGGATCAAGGTGCCAAGTGGCCCGCGCTCACCTTGGTCAGGTTTTGTCCCAGGAATGCTGTTGTACTATCAAAGCAGACATTAAAAAGTGTATTAGTTCAGGTTTTTTCTACCCCTTAAAGCCTTCCAGGACAGGTAGGCTTGCTGAAAACAAGGGCTTCTTCCACCCCCGCCTCCCCCGCCCTTGCTACT